ATGAACTTATTGAGGGTGTGACTTATTTTTAGCCTTCCTTTTGCAACATGACTGCATTCTGGTGGTCTTTTGGTTCATTTTCAGACACACTTTCCCTGCTTTGACAACATGCTCCCTATGACCTCCACAGGGGGACTTCTGTGGATGCATAAACTCCAGGTTTGATTCTGGATGTGCAATAGCCCCTTGAGAAAACTGTTTATGAATAACACTCTCTAACTTCAACAAACTATTCTGCTTTTTTTGGACATGATTTTGATGGTGATTATTTTGAAGAATATTTTGTTTTCCAGTTAGAATGAACAATCTTTTCCCATCAGGCTAGCTTGCATTTTTGGCAAAAGTTTGCCCTTTCTAGTTATTTTTCTCTATCCTTCCCCACCATGATAGTCCTCATGCCACCATGATAGTCCTCATGTACTTCTGATGCTGCAGGGTAAGTAAAGAAAGAGAATACCTTTAGGCTGTTTCCCATTACCCAGATCATAATTGCTTTGAGTATCAAATAAAGGACATTTTGATGAGTTCTATCCTTTCTTTAACACAGTAATATGGTACTCTCAGAGACAAATTATCAGAGTTCTCTGGGGTTCTTTTCTCTCCTGTATAAAATTAAAAAGTGGACAAGATGTTTTGTGACCTGAGAAATTGTTTTTTCATAAAATGCCAAAGAAGGGTGAGGCCATCATGTATATCATCCTGGAACAAAGCTGTGGATCAGGAATCAAAGTTTTTGTAGTATAAACCAACAGTGGGGCCTCCTTAACCACTGCAATGCTTTAGCTATCAAAACTAAAATGAGGTCATGTTGATCAACTGAAGAAATGTATATGAAAGTGCTTTGAAAATAAAATCATGTAAAACAATCATGCTTGCTATTAGGAGAAAAGAAAAGAGAATCATTGAGGAGTCATTTCTTAGCCTCTGGATTTTAAGTTTCTACTTAGTTTAAAATACCATACATAGAATTTTTCTACCCATCTTATTAATTCGAGCAACTGCAATGAAGTTCAATTTTGCAAAGGGTAATACTAAGATAATAGCAATTTGCTAATGGGAGAAGCCGTGGTTTTAAGAGTCAGCTATGAGAGTGATGAGAATAAAGCCTACTTTGAATGGCATGTTGGAAATCTGCATTGGTTTTATGGCACCAAAACAGGTCAGAAACTTTTATATTTAAAAAATTCATAGATGTGTTTCACAGTAGATCCCAGAGGAGAGGACTCTAAACTGAAGCCATAATGCTACATATTTATGGCTCAGTGTTGCCCCAAGTTTCCGTGCAATCATAGAAAAATGTCTGACTCTCTAAGGTCAAGTTCTCCCAGTTACAGTAAGGATTAATAACACATGCTCAAAGCATTTTCAAATATTTCACTCCTACTCTGTAAGTTAAGGAAAATTTATTAAGAACATTTGTGAATCTTCTTTAAGCATTTCAGTTAAATTAAACTATAATGTAGACAAAGCATCACCTCTGACTTCACATACTGATATGACCTAAATTTTGTAAATAAAGTCTTACAAATATGTTAGGAATGCATTTATAAAGTGAAAGATCTTTTTAAACATGTAAGTTTGTGTTTTCAAAATCATATTTTCTAAAAACATTGTCCACCTGCAGTGCTGTTTATGTTACATACACGGAGCTGCTCATGGAGGTCAATGCTAGAACTACCTTTATGTAATTGCAACATTTTAAGAAACAGCAATTACATCACCGATAAAAAACCTAATAGAAAACCTCTAACTTTGGGGAAAAGGCATATTTTTCCTAGAAATTTAAAAGTATAGAACATTAAATAATAACCTGGAGTCACAAACAAGCTGAAGCTTTTCAAGTTTGCTTTCAATCTATTGTTTTAATAAGAGAAATAAAATAAATGCATTGTATAGATAAAAATGAGTATGTTTCTTGTTGCAGGAGAAATCATCAAGAGTTGATATTTTCTATTGTTCATCATTAAAATAATTCACCCTAAGAATAGAATAATATTTAAAATTTGTTGGGGATATATCTCAAAGGTAGAGCACTTGCTAGCATGCATGTGGCCCTGTATTTGATCCCCAGCACTACAAAAGAATAAATAAATATAAGTAAAACAAAAATAAATAAAAGTTATTGGATGATCTATTTGTACAATACACACACATAATACCTTTATATTTCCTGATGTAACAAAGAAATGTTCAAGGGGAAGTGTAGATGTGATTGAAGCTTGATAATCTTTCTTTAATTTTTTATAATACTTATAGTCCATATGAATCATTTGGGATGGGTAAATTGCCTTGAATCTTTTCAAGCATGTATGTCTTATCTGTACAACTGGAAAGGGAGCTTCTGAAGGGAAGTATTCTGTGGTGCTAAGCCCAGAGCATTGTACATAACCTGGGTGCATTAATCTTTGATTGACATGCACATTTGCAGAAAGGAGTCTGTTGAGATAACACTTAAAATCTTTATTCATTGATTTACAAAATGTACAATATTTACAACATCTAGAAATTAATCTCATATTGACATGAATGAAGAGAATCTAAAAATAAATATGTGGCACATAGGTTAATATACACATCATGGCTCTTTGCACTCCAAGCCATCACCAATGGTGAGGATTTAATGGAAAATTTAATGTGGTAGAAAAGTCAGATGGCTGACCAGTCCTGGACCTTCAACATGAATGGCCCTTCCTTGGTTCCTTGAGGCTGGGGATGGTGAACAAACTGCTTTCTTTCAAGAGAATTAAACAAAAACCATTTTAACAGGTGTAGGGGGTGCATGCAGCACATCTGTGCGGTCTGCAATAACTCCCCGGGGGGTGGAGGAATCTGTACCACTGTGGACCGGATCCCTCTATACCAGCCAGGGAAGCTCTGATGTGGTCACTTTCTTATTTCTTGTTCAAATCACATGCAGTACTTGGAAAATGTGAGTGGAGTGTGACCATGCACAAAAATGTAGATATGTACAACATTACATTTTCATTGTCTTATAGCATATTTCTTTATTCACTTATTTGTGGTACTGGGGAGAGAACCCAGGTTAAAGCATCTTTAGATGCAAGATCAACCATCTCCTCTTTCAGCAAGAGAGACAAATGAGGAAGCCATACCCTTACTTTCTAGAGGAAAAACAAAAAATCACCTGGGGACACATGCAAAGGCATCCTGCACAAAATAAATTCCACATGATAAGATGGACAAATTTCTATGAAGTCAAGCCTGGAAGTTTTCCTAGGAGAATAATTCCACTTTCCTTTCCTCTTAAATCCTGCTTCATCACATATAATCTAAATCTAAAGAAAAGGCTTCATGTTATTGAGGGGGTTTTTTTTTGTGCCTCAGTACCTTCATTTCTAAAGTCTAAATACCAGTAATATTCCTCACTGAGCTTTCGCTGGGATTATATGACCTAAATTACGTAAAGTGCTTAGCATAGTTCCTGGCACACAGGAGTTGCTTAATGAGTGTCTTGCTTACTTTCCCTCTACTATCCCAGCCCCAATTATAAGCAACAAGTTGATAAGCCTACCAAACTCTGAATTAAGGCGATATAATACAATTTAGATTATTTTGTATCAAGGTTACTGCTGTCAGTTCATATTAGGTCCCTGAGGGAGTCTCATTTTATGAGCCAGAGAGTTTCCTATGCTGGACAGATGGATCCTCACAATACTGTCATGGCTCCTCCAAGTTCCATGCAAACATGTCCCATAACCCTGCAGAAAAGTTCAGACCAGCATATTTTTGGGACAATACCACTAAGGAAACCATGAGCAAGAACCTTGAGACAAACACATTACTCCTGCTCATGACATATTAACTTTCCTCAATACCAGTGGAAGTATTATAGATAACTTTCAACAAACATATATTACAAGCTCTACCATGGTTGAAAAATAAGTAATTCTAATTTGATCATTTTGTTCAGAATAAAGAATTTTTTTTAGAATATATTTTAGTTTCCAGTTATGCCATACAAAAATAAATATTGTTTAAAGGATTTACAAGGGAGAACAAAAAAATACAACTTTGGGTGCCGAAAATGTAGGAAAGATGGCAAAAATTTTATCCTCTACCTCAAAAGTAAGATCTAGAAGAAACCAAAAAACTTCCCATGGAGTCTCTTTACTAATCTCAAAATCTACCTTTTTCTCATTCTAGTATATTATACTATTAATATAGAGACAATTTAATGCAGAACCTTCTCCCTAAGTCTCTGGGAATTTGGAAGGAGAAGGTTCTTTGGTAGTAAGAACTGTAGATAGAGAAAGCAGCTGGCTGAGTCACTGGGCCCTCAAAATGAATTACGACTAACACCCACACATCTTCCTTTCATTCTAAAGCCTCCCTGTCTAGATTAGCTACGCAAGAATATAGAAACCAACACCTAAAGAAAATGACCCCCATCCTGCTTTGGGACTCTGTGGACACCACTGGCCCAAGTGGAATCCAGGATCTCCTGGAGCATAACTAGGCTCAAAGTCAAGGCCAGTCTCTCCAGTTCCATGAAGGGCTTGATGGGTATCAGTTCCACTAAGTTTGGGGAAATTCTTTTCTAGCCGCCCTTACAAATACACCAAATTTTACGTCTTCCTTTTTATCCTCCCATGCAGCTGAGGGAATATGACTGAGAGAAAAAGGCTGGGAAAATTAAATTAAGCAAATTGCTTGCTGCTCTTTCAGGAACTCAGTCAGAATCTCAAAGGAAATAGTCCAATCGTTTTGGATTCAAAGTTTTAAAATTCTAAAGCTATAACTGGATTCATGATTGTAATTAAAGCAGTGGTCCATTGCCTTTCTCCTGAAAAACAAATGTGTATACATGTCCACATAACATATTCCTGACATCTCAGAGGGTTCCAGGTCCTCTTCCGGCTCATGCATGTATTCCAAATCAATAATCTAGGTTACAATAAATGCAGAACTATTTCCTGGAGTCAAAAAAAAGGTTTGTGGTATGGAATTCAGGGTCCATACGGGGGGCAAGCTGGCTTTGATGGGGGGGTCTTGGTTAGATGCCAAATGGCAATACTGAAGCAATGCTTGTTTCTCGTAGGAAGTGGGAATGCCTGGCCACGATGACATCTGTGATTGGTGCAGTCTCACATGGGTGACTATTGTCAGGCCAATGATTCATGCATGACTATGGACAGTGAGATCCCACGGATCCCTAGTAAACACGGTACTGTTGAGCTGCTATAATGTGAGTCCTAACCACACCCACAGGCAGGACACTATCACCGACATGCAGTGCGGGTGCCCATTTGTCTGATTTATAGGTGATGTTGTGGCAAACGTGGCATCAGTTTCATTTCGGGGGAGTGGCAAGTTACAGATATTTCCTTCACAGCAGGAGGTGCAGACCTGAAAAAAGGGAAGAGGAAAAGGGGGTGGTGAGAAGCCAGCTGGTCCCAGTAGGAGACAGGTATCTTTATAGGAACTGTCTCCCTAGGGCAAAACTCAAATGAAAATGCTCTATTCCACAAAGGAAATGCCAACCAACATTTAGGGAGGTTGGGGATAATATTCCAGCTAGAAGCAACATGGTCAGAATGAAACCCCCCAGCCTTAACTCCAAGGCACTGGGGTTCTGTTTTTGACATTCAGCCACGTGGTTCCTCAAGAAGTTTCATAACCTTTGGGCTCCAGCTCTTCCACCTGTGAAATGGGATTTTGAAAACTGCTCTTCCATTTCAAAGATGCTCTTTTTGACTACTTGAGGCAGCTGTCAGGAGGGTACACCTTCCTCTGCCAAGTTTTCACAGTGAAAATGAAGTGGCAACAGCCCCCATAATTTAAACTTGAATATTTACTTTCATTATCGCTATCTGCATAATTATCTCCATTCTCGTGGGTGAGTTAACGTTTGAAGGGTTTTCATTTATGCAATTACTGCTGCTTTATACTGCTTTACTCCTGAATTATATGAAAGAAATAAACCCAAAGGGTTACTGACAGCAATTATTTTAGGCCATCGCTACACAAAGTACGGACCAGCAGCTTCAACATCAGCTGGGAGCTTGTTAGAAATGCAGAATCTCAAAACCTTGCTTCAGATTTAGAGAATTAGAATCTGCATTTTAATGAGATCCCAGATGATTCATATTCATAGGATGGTTAATATCCTACACTATCATCCTGCTGAGATTTGAGTCTCTGGTCATAATTGACATGGGGAGAGAGTAAAATGTTGAGAACGGAGATGTCAGAAATGAGTTTGAATCCTGTTTCTGTTGCTTGCTGGCTGTGTGACCTGAACATAGGACATAAGTTCTCTGATCCTTCATGTTCTCCTTGGTACAGACACCACGGCAACCCTTGAGCCTGGCCCTGCTGGCTGGAGGGGTCAGGTTATGACCTTGGTTTTATGTTTCATATTTCAAACCAGGAACAAGTAGGCTTTCGTTCTTAATAAGAATTTAATTCTTAGTGTATTTGAGAAGTCACTTATTAGGCGTCTGTCACTGACAGTACTGTTTCAGAGTATGAGAAAGAAAACTGCCTAAATCCCCAGGAAAGCAACCTGACAGAAGTAGGAGATGTCACAAAGGACATTTGTTAAGAGCACACTCACAGCCAGCAGGAGAGGCTGGGGCATCGCTCATTCTGACCACGAGTCAGACTGCCTCTCTCTGATTCTTTATATCCTCCTTCATGGCTGGCCCCTGAACTTCATTTTACACAGAAGCACTTCTGTATACAGGCACTGACAAAGTTTAAGAGGAACAGATCCACAGGAAGATGGTTCTCTTGTCACTTATCAAATGATTCAGGAGCCAGTGGAGACTTCCACAAACTAGCATCCCTCACTTTGCAGAAAGTTATCAAAGCTAAATTGCCTGGGGCCCCCTCGGGTGGATGGATTGTTTTTCCATCTGGGATGTAACAATGTTTGCTAAGGTGGCACAAGTGGTCCTCACTCCTCTCCCTTCCAGAAGCTTTATGACTCTCCTGAGTGAACCAAGGACTTAAGATCATCCTCCACATCCTTCTGGTGTGGGCTTGCACAATTTATACCTGTCCTCCTGTGCCCTGGTGTTCATTCATACTCTTTTAGAGCAGACAGAAAAGGATGGATTCTTTCCACAGTGCTCTAAGACAGGGCAGCCTACAAGTGGGGAATGGAGATAGCCCTCCGAAGTAGGGGGACTACTTGACTATGCCATGCCATCATGAGCTGTGTTGCCAAACCTTGTGGCCTTCATGCTCCGAGTCTCTGCAGCCAGTGGACAAGCACTCTTCCAGTGGGACGCAGCGTTTGGTGACAGAGATGCTGTTTCCTGTGACTTCCATCGTGTGCTGAGTGTAGCAGTATCTGGTCTCTGTTAACAGAGAAAATATGCTTTAATTGAGATGGGAAGTGTGAGCCCAGTCTACCTAAAAAGGAACCCCACAGGAGGGCGAACACTCCTGCTACTGAAAAGGTCTAATAGTACATAGGATATATACCACCCCTAGTATATGTCCACTCCCAAAGATCTCCCCAGAGAGATCCATCTTGCCATGGTAGGACACAGCCTTCCAGAGAACGCAGGTCTCTGTATCCATGGTGAGCCCCATAAATGGAGACCTCAATAGATCCCTCTTTGCCTTTCTAAAAATTTTGCCATTGTCCTTATCTTTAGAAGATGAGTGGTTGGGGAGTTGATTTAGGAGGCAAGGGCGGCAATTTTCAGAAAGATAAAGGGTTAAAAGTTTCAAAGTATATAGGGCTAAAAAAAAAGAAGTTAAGCAGGTACAATGGTATTGCAGAGGATGAAAGCCACAGAAGAGGCTGGTGTGTGTGTGTGTGTGTGTGTGTGTGTGTGTGTAGAGAGAGAGAGAGAGAGGTATTCCCATGTAAGGGCAGAACTATTAGAAAGAGACACATTTTATTTTGAGAAAATGACTCCCTTCAAGAGAATGTCTTGCCACCGAGCATAGCTGGATCTAGGATGTATTAGGAAGAAAGATTAACCCAACAACTCAGGCGATCCAAGAAGCTTCATTTCTCCCAGTATGATTCCAGTGTCTTTCTGGGACAGAAGATGTTGACCGTGATGGGAGCTCATAGAAGTTCCTCTAGACTCCTGAGTCTGAAAGCTCGAGGTTTATTTCAAAATTCTTTTTAGAGAATTATTTTATTGGTAATTTAAAAACTAAAGAAAAATGGCTTTGTCAACGTAATTCTTCAGAGCCTCCAGGCAGCGTTCAGCTCTCTAAGCCTGGGATTTAAGAGAATGTTCCCGTTCTACTTTCACATTAAAAAAGAAAATGAATAATTCTTAAGAAATGTCACTGCGCTGTTTTTCATCCATATCTTAGACCCAAGTTTGCATGCTTTATACATTTTGGATATTTAGTGGCTAATATGGAATTATGATCTTCTATGATGTTATTTATTAGGCCATAAAAATTTCCCCCACCAGATTTTGTCATGATTTTGGCAGCTTTTAACCAAAGCGCTAATGTTCAAAGAAGAAAGCTTAAGAATTTTAGCTCCCCAGAATGAACTAATGTAGACTGCATTGAGTCAAGAAAACTCTGTTTTTATTTATTTATTTTTTTTATTTTTGGTAGCAGAGATTGAACTCAGGGGCACTTTACCACTAAGCTGCATCCCCAGCATCCCCAATCTCTGGGACCCCCCCACCCTCTTTTTTTTGAGACTGGGTCTCACTGTGTTGTGTAGAGGCCTTGCTAAATTGCTAAGGCTGATCTTAAACTTGCAATCCTCCTACCTCAGTCTCCAGGGTGGCAGGAATTAGAGGTGTGGGTCACAATGCCCAGTGAAAATTGAGGGTTTTGAAAGTCTTCTCAAACATCCCACCTAACAGGAATCCCAAATGGCTTCTTATTGACCGGGTCAACATCCTCCCCCAGATGCTGTCCCCACACTGCACCCTGGCTTAGATGTTGGAATTTTTTTTTTTTTTTTTAAGAATCAGGTTGAGGCTGTCTCAAACTTGCTCAGAATTCTATGGAGCAGTTTGGAGGACAGTGGCTTCAGATACTTACCACACCTTCCAAAGAGGCCGGGTTTACTTCTCAGGTATCAGACTCAGTGGACATTTATGGCTACAATAGGTGCACCTTCCCATCCCCACCCCAAGTTCAAATGTTCTGGAAAGCAATAAAAACTGGAATGTTCTTATCTCCTGTCTCCTCTTCATGCAGACAACTAGGAGCAGCTGCCAGAGGTTTTATAGCTCCAAATGTAAATCTGAGCAGATAAGATCATACACTTATGGAATAAGTAAATCACTACGTGGTTTCAGTTTGGGAAATTAGGTTTGTCCCCCAAGTAATGAATTATCTTGCTTTAAGAATCAAGCCTTAAAATAACAACTGGTGAACTTGATAGATCAATTCTGTTTATACTTTCCTGTCCACAACAAACCCCCTTATTTATTAATGAAGCACTCGTTCCATTGAATGAAAGTAGTAGCAACAATTGATAAGAAAAAATTTTTTCAGGAATATATGGAAAACCCTTGCACCTAATAAGCCAAATCTCGCCTTTCTAGAGGGAGAAGATAGATCAGTGAAGATGCTGGGTTTTCTTATACTTCACCAAGTCCAGTTGATAAAACAAAGGTACACTGAGAGCACTGCCTTCATGTCCAGCAATAGAGACCTCAATTCTAAAGCATTGATCCCTCAAATTATCTATTCCATTTCTCATCTTACAACATTCCTAGGTGAGTTATGAAATATTAATGTGGAAAAGGGTTCTGCAGTTTGGGAAATGCTCAAAAAAACTGAACTGGTTTCTTTGGTGTGTATTTTATGAGAGTCTCCCACACGCTCTGAGGTCTGTGGATTCCAAAGGTATTTTGGAGAAAGCAGACAGAATTTCCCAAGCAAAACCAGGTGGACCACATGGGGCTTATCACTGGAGCGTAGTAGTAATAAAAAACAAGTTTCAGCCACAGAGCATTGCCCTCTATGCATTTTGAATAATCTTCGGGTTAGTAATGAGGTTATATGAGAATCAAGCCTGCTGATAACTTCACACTAAAAGGATTTCAAAGACTTTTATCTAAAAGATAAAAGATGGATTTGAATTTCTACCAGGTTAGTTTTAGCCTCTAAAACCTCAAACTCTGCTACTGACTGATACTTCCAGAAGTTGTGAAATAAACTCTTTGACTCTCAGTAAAATCAGAAATGGAAAAGAGAGCTTAATCAACAATTGGAAAGCTCAAAATATAATTTTCATAAAATTCTCTCTCTCTCTTTCACACACACACACACACACACACACACACTCCATAATGTATCTCTGAAATCTAAAACTAATTCAAAGCTAAAATGAAAACTTTTATTTACTCACCAATATTCCATTTCCAATAAAAGAAACTGTATTTAAGCAAACTGTATTTAAGGTGTATGATGATTTAAATTAAAACGAGACATTACACATGTTTACCTCTCAGATAAAAGACTTTCTTATCACTCAATTATCTCAATTATTCTCTGGGGCTCTGTTAGTTTTTTTTTTTTAAATAAAGATATATAATGTTTAAAGTGATGCTATAGGACAATTCCCTAGGTACAAGAAAATGAATGGGAAGAAAATAACTTAAAGAATAATATTACAGATTATAGTGGAAAAAATAAAACGCTAGTGCCATCTGTCCACACACTCCCTGCCCAATCCCTCACATCTGCCATGGACTGTCAGACAATGACCTATAATATAATAGTATAATAAATGACATTAATATAAATATTATGTTTATGTAATAAACACAGTATCTATTATATAATAAAATAATATAAAACAAATAATATATCATATATTAATTAATATTATCTAATATATATAAATTTATATTATTAAATATAATATATAAAATAATATAATTTATGTTATATATTTACATTACACATGATTATATGTAATGTATAAAATACTAATATATAAAATATAATCATATAAAATAATAATATAATAATAATTACATAAATATATTAATATAATGGCCTTTAGTAGAGTAGGTGTCATAAGTGATGCTCCTTTTTCACGTCTGCCTCTGCAGGATTTTTTTGTAGCTCTGGACTCTATGATGTATAATCTCCTCTGTGGGATTCCCCATCCAGACTTTAGAGGTGTTGTCATTTTTATTTTCTACATCTCTGGTCTCTTCTCTTCCATCACTTTTAGAAACCTGAAAGTTGATACTCTCCCAAGTTCTATCCTTGAAACAATTTTCACTCAAATGACCTCATCAATCTTCTGATGCCAACTCTCGGTCTGCTTCTTTCTCCTGAGCTACAGAATGAAAATTTCCAACTATCTCCTGGACACAGCCAGTATCACCGCACAAGTCACATGTCTCTAACCAAACCTCATTTCCCTCCTGAAATCTGTTTATCTTCATGTGGCCCTATCTCAGGAAGAGACCTCCTGAGAGGGCCATCTTCATTTTTGCAGGGAGTGAAGACTAAACTTTGGAATCAGCTTACATTTCTTTCCCTAATCGGAGGTGTTGTCGTTTTTATTTTCTACATCTCTGGTCTCCTCTTCCAGCACTTTTACTAACCTATTTCCATATTAATACCACCTACTTGCTAAGGAGTGCTGGCTGCTGCAGTGCTAGGTGTATTTGGTTTACCCAAGTAGCAGGTATGAAGGCTGCTGCCTCTCCCTGCTCCTGAGGCTGGAACCAGAGTAGAAGAGTAGCTGTGCTCCCCACAGTGCCATCAGTTAGATCTGCCATTCAGAGCTTCACATTTGAAACTCAGCACTTACTACTCCGGGTTCTCCTTGATCAAGGCCCCAAAGGAGCTCATGGTTGTCTCCTTAAGATGCTGTACCACAACTTTGTTCTTCACAGGAAGACATTTTATGCATCTTCAGCTTGGTCTAAAATCCATTTTTCTACCTTCTATTTTTGGAAACCTGATGTTCTGTAAGACTCAATACAAACTGACAAATTCTGTGAAACCTTCCCTGATTTTTCTCTCAAATAGGTCGATGTTAATTTTTTGCTTCCATGTTGCCTTTCTTTTTATTTTTTTCCCAGTGCTGGGGATGGCACCCAGGGCACTGAGCATGCTAGGTTGGGCAAGTACCCTATCCCTTAACTTCCTAATTTGGTTAAATCTGGCTTTCCTTATAGATTAGGATTTCTCAAACTTGGCAAGATTGACTTTCATTTTTAAAATGGTTAATTTTAAAAAATTAAATATTTTAAGACAATTATAGATTCACATCGGTAAGAAATAAGAGAAATCCCATGTGCCTTTTGCCCAGTTTCCCCACAAGGTCATACATTATAAAACTATTGTACATTACTATCACAATCAGGATGATGACATCATTACAGTTGAGATA